CAAATGGTCGACCTCCACAAGTTACGTTGGTTGGGGCATGTGTTACGCATGTCACCAGATAGGTTGAAACAATGATTTCCCCGAATGAATTTGAAAAAAGGTCAGTAGTTTTATGCAAGATGTCTGCTGCAGGGACATTTCTTTCGCATATAATCAGTTACTTCATGCGAATTACAATTGGACAGTATATATGTTCATGGGGTATGGTGACAAATAGATTTAAAGGCGAGATTCATACTTGTTCACGAGACAGTGTAACCAGTTTACCAACACTTTTTTCTCCTAATTGGAATACATATGAGTGGAAAATTGTTCACAAATTGGTGAGAATGACGTGTTAATGTGTGCGTGTGTGTGTGTTTCAGGAGGTATAAGGCGGAGAGGGAAATTTAGTACACGTGGACATGCGAAGACAGGAAGTTAATAGGCCGATTAAATAATACTGACGATTATGAAAAACAAAAGTTGGAATTCATTATCCAAATGCAGGTGTGAATGGGGGGAGGTGTAATTGATGTGTGTGGGTGGATGGTTTGAGTGAATGGGGCAGGGAGAGGAGAACGAAAGTCACAATGATGAGATGAGGGGTAAAGGATAGAGTGGGGTGGGGCGGATTAACTCCACGGTAAAGCCAATGCTACCACCATCTGCTTCTGAGCGCACAGAACGGGGTTCGTTCTTCGTATGGTTACGGCTTCCGCAAATTTTAGCTGGTAGGGTCGTTTCGGACGGTAGACAATTCGGAATGTGTCCGTTGGATTCACTCGGTGGGTTGTCACGGTGAGCGATGTTTGCCGAGGCAGGTAGCGGTTTAAAAAAGGTCAAAGGTGGTACAACGAAGACCGGCATGAGGGTATGAAAGCCCTGACCCGGAGACTGGATCACTTAGGTCGTGTTAGGCTCCCTGGCTGGGGACCTCGGTATGGTCGTAACCGATTGTTGGCGACACTGAGCGATTTGGCTGGGTGTCGTAAACAGTGGCGCTTGTGCATCTTCTCGATTTCTCTACTTCACTAGTCCACTGAGCGTTTCACATTTCTCTTCTAACCTACTTTCAACCTTCCCGTTTTCCTCCAATTGTTCACCCAAACGGGCAGTCGAAAGATAGCAACCAAAAGCGTTCAACGGAAATGCATGCTTATTGGTTGTTTAAACTGAACTGGAATTGTGACATCATGTGGTCCATCTAGGATTAATGTTGTCAGGGTGTCATCGCACACCCTAAAAACTGTTTTGTTCTGAGAGTACCAATCAGGGCAAGGATAGGCGAACTCAGATGGTTGGTCGAAACCGACAGCCAATCGAGACGGTTGACAACATGTTAGTGAACCAATCGTTTTATTAGTGCATTCTTATTTCCTCTCTGCTGGCTTTCGTATTATGATTGAACTCCTCTGCGCCTCCAGCGGTGTTCAATTTCACTATCTCCGAAATTGCTCTGGATGAGAAGCGTGATTGGAAGACAGTCATTGGGGAATCCAGTATTGAGGGCACTTCGTGTGTGATATTGAGTCTGGGAGCATTTCTGCCTCAAACAGCATTGAAATGAATACATGTTCGAAACCAGGGGAATCCGAATCCAATCTCTACTTTGCGATTCTGTTTTTATATATATATATATATCTTGGATCCTGGTTGTTGTACAAATCAGGGTAATGATGAAACAGTTATTTCACCGAAGATTAATACTTGAGATCAGGCCATTGGTTACCACTCTCTTCAGTATTCGTCACATTTGTTCTTTTTCGATCATTACCTGACGCTTGGGTCAAGGTAAGGACTTTTTACACCAATAAATTAGCACCAATGACTCAAATCAGCTTTGCCTCATCGCCTCATCCGTACTGTCTTGTGTTCATTGCCCCCACCCGCACCTTGACTAGCTGCATCACGAACAGGCTCGTCGTCATCGAGATGCGGAAGAACGCATTCTAGTCAGTGCGTGGTATAATCTGATCGGCACCTTTACTCGTGATGCGGTCGAACAACGCATCCAAACACACTCTCAACCACATGCAACACACGAAAGTTCGTTGGTAAACCGTTCCAATGAATATCATCCACTGGGCACTGCCACGAACGAAGCCTCCTCGTTCCTCGAACGCCAACGAGAATTGCATCTGAAACCACCGCGTGGTCTGACCTCAGTCGTTGTGGCTTCGAAGTGATCTCCATTCCCGTTATTGTGACCTTCTGATCAGATACACACACACACACACACTGTGATCCACTCAATGTGTCATGCAGCACCCACTCATTTGACTCCATACTATTTTCTTTCTTCCCACACTCACCTGCCGTTGGTTCTTGGATGGGAGACAGCACTTGTGACTTGCATTTATTAAGCCCCCGAAACACAACCCATCCCTCGGTTCGTCCCCCACCGCCCTCATTGAGACTTCAATGTATCGTTGTGGCTTCATATGCGTCAGCGTATTCCACTGACCCACCTCATCTGGATTGTCAGTAACACATGACTACTCATTCCTCCACACATACCATCCATACTGTCCACATCACTGATTCAAACACCAATTCCCCGAACTGGGCACGTGTGAACAACAGTTCACCAATTTATTTTCTTTTTTAATAGTTTGCCTCCGGTCTACTTTTTCTGCTTTGGATAATTGGATTTCTCTTGTGATCCAGCGGTCGGGAGGTCAGCTCATTCTTTTAAGTGCCCGCAGAAAGCAGAATGCTGTCTCCTCGATCTGTTTTGCCTCACCAATTGTGCCGTGTGTGCGAACACACACATGCCGTATGATTGATCCCACGTGTCCACCGAGCATACGACTATGTTTGATTATTTTTCACAGGACTGACGATGAAACAGACTGCTCACATCAAGAGCTTGTTCAGTATGTGCGGCGATTGTGTCACCTTTATTTTGATCCTGTTTCATCCTCTCGATCTGTACACCACAGCCCCCCCTGCATCCATCCCTGGCCCGAATTGATGAGATCATTTGTGTCATGCACGAGTGCCAGAACAAAACCTTTGGATCTCTACCACAGAGGGCGTGTACGGGAGACTCAGCGTGCCCTGCTAATTCGTATCAGTTTCGTGTAGAAAAACAGACAAGGGTGTCCGGGAATTCTTATGCATTAATAAATAAAAATTTGTATCTTCTGTTCTGTTTTTGACAATTTCGGAATTTCAATACTGGCCAACAAAGTAAAATTCTGTCATCATTTGATCCGAGAAATTTCGATAGATTGCCTTTGAAACTCTTCTAAGTTGATTTGTTTTAACATTCAGATATTTGTAGTGGATCTTGTCGTGTACAGCGCAAATGAGGCGTGAACTGAATTACCTAAAAAGCTGTTTCGACCTGATTAGGTCTCCTCAGTGCAATGCGCGAACCCATCGACCCAACCGGGAATCGTTAAACCGGGACCTGACAGGTAAAACTTAAATATACTGTCCAGTTGGTTATCGGGTAGCTGATCAGATTGGAAGCTAGTGATTATGTGCATATTCCTTTAACTGGCAAATCCGAAAGATGTCAGTTAGAAAGGATAGGTTGCTGGTAAAGGTCACCAGAACGAATCCTGTCAGCGGGACCATCACCTCGCAAATTTGTCTATTTATCAGTTTCCAAACGGACACTTTGTTGTTGATGGAATGAAGAAATGTCGAGACCCCGAAGGCTCGAACCTCATGAAAGCCGGAGTTAAATGTGTAATGCAGTGTTGTTTGTTGTGATGTTACTCACAACAGTAGAGCCGTATGTTTGAGACGCAAGCGTCATGAGTTCCTGAGCACCGCATATAATTCACTGACGAATGGTCTTTAAACAAATAAGATAGGAATGAGACTCTATTATCTTTTAATCAAATGTCAATGCTGAAGCATATAATCAAAAATAGGTAACTGTTTTCTGCAAGATGAGAACCGTTTAGACATGTATGGTACCGGGGTCAGTAATCCCACTAGAACTGAACCCCATGGAGCATGCGTGGGACAATTTGGAGTCACACATTTAAGAGAGACGAAATGTCACCTAACCCGGAGAGGTTCGGAATGGTGGTGATCAGAACGTCACGTTCTGACGTTCGCACCAAACTATTTTTCTCTGGAATCAGATTGATGCGAAAATGAAGAAACCTGTCGATACAACATAGTGGATGTACTTCGGTCGGGGAGGTCATTTTCGTGCGGTGAGGTAAGACATTCCGGTCCGTCGCCCCAGTGTGATTCAACTGATGCTATACTGTTTATCAAATGAGTGTCAGTAATCGGTATGGAGCTGGTTATTGAGTCCACTAACTGACTTCCAATTTACGTCACATGGGCCTCATCCATGTCCAGTGTTGTTAAGTAAGATGAAAGCAGGTGTGCATTAATTAGTTTTGGTTTGAGTCCTCTCTCTGTAGTACGCTGCAGGAGGAATGTGGTCGGACATGAACATGAACTCACAGGTTCCTGCTACACTGGGTCCGGGTGGGTTGTGAACGGACGGGTAAGGTTCACTGAACTCTGTATCGCACCTGCAATCTGTCGACTTAAAGAAAACGTTTTACCTAAAAAGCACAGCTGTTCAGCATCTGGTCAACAATCTGTGTGAGCCCCAACAACAAAAAATTGTAATTGCACTGAATATCAAAACACGCCTGTGTCCAATATGTATGTATACTGACTGGTTCGCAAAGAACTGATCAACAGGTGTTTCACCAAAAAGCGGAACAGGTGTTCGCCCAATCTTTTCGTCTCATTCTTTAATTGTGGATACCTACCTATCTCGATCAGAATAGCCTATCCTCGTTTGTACCTGTACAGATGGAATTCGGAAACAGCTCCAACTCCTCAGGTGTAATCTGTTGTTCCGTAGTCCGGCAAGAATCACAGGTGTATCAGTGTTTCTGCGCAGTCCTTTTGTGGAATTACACGCGTATTAATCCGAACACGGAAGTGGGATTGTCTTCACTTGTTTTATTAGTGCGGGAATTTATTAACACGGCTCGTTTCGGTAGGGGGCGAATAGAATGAGATCAAGTTTGATTGTGTCACACTTGGCTGGGATCGGCATTCTTTCTAATGTGTGAACCGGTTCCGCAACACAAGTCGTTTATAGTTAGGTTTCGAACACTAGTGATTGCGGAGACACTTGTCTTTCACCTCTCGGCGGCTGAATTCTGTGAGATGTAACAGTTCGAACGCATTCCCTGTTCGACAACCGAATGTGCTGCTATCCATGTGCTTAATAGGGATGCAAGTTAAATATCACTCTGACTGCATAATTCCGTTAAATACTCAACAATTCCCCAGTCGATTAAATTCATTCACCTGTCCCACCTCTCTCTTCATCTGGACTTTGTGTGACATTTGCTTTCCAGCTTTTCTTGTGACTTTGTTTTAAAATAAATGTGATCATAATGGTCTGAAATTGAAATTATTCATTGAAAACCGACAAAAATTACAGATGAACATTGTAGGCTGTTGGGCAGTCCTATGCCAGCCTAGTTGCACAAGCGCATGCCTGATCTCCTCCGATCGGTGTGAGCCAGGCTGCAACGCGGATAGCGATCAGATTTTCTAGGGGTATCTGAATGAGCCCAGTTAAGCAGTGCTGAACAAGGGATGATGCATAAAGAACTAAACACACGGACTTGAATCACAACAGTTCATTTTTTCTGATCCAGTGGTGTGATTGGCGCATAC